GTCGTCGTTCATCGTTTATCTACAATATACGCGTCTGAACGATTCCCATATACTACACGCATATATCTTCTCTTGCCTTTCGTGAAAGGTTTTTGTGTCTCGTGTTCAGTTTCCATTGAAACGCGGAACCCATCCTTTCCAATTTTACCACCGCCACACACGTTTTAAAACGCCTGCCCCTTTCTCGATTGGAATGGATTATACACGTACTTGTAAATTATTGCTGGAGCTGTCTGAAAAGCGTTTTACAATCCCATAAAACAGAACGAATCAACGAACGAACTACATCGAACCGAATAATGCTCTCTCTTGTTCGTGTGAGTTGGTTTATTCGTAATGCCGGCTTCGCTCTATCGCACTTAACCGTGTAAAATATCTTTTTTTCCCTTTACTTTTTCTTTAGGAACTTATAATACTACTCGTGGCGTACGACGTCCTAACTTTTATCCCGTCGAGTCACGTGGGTCTGATGAAGGCGGGGTCCTTCTTCGTATCGTTACACGATCTTTTGCGTAACTTCGAATATGATCGATTGAAATAACGCGCGTGTGTGTGCCCTTGTGTATGAATACACGTCGATCAAATAGATCGTTAGATTCCCCTTCTTGTAATAACCGTTCTGTGCTTTTTCGACTGAATTTTTTCTTTTTTCTGTTTTTCTCTTTTTTTTTTATAAGCTAGAGAACTAACGCGACAACGACTATTCTTTGCTCGAAATTAGTCGTTATTAAATTAGTCATTAGTTACGATGCTACGTAATTGGCGGCAAGATTAGACACGTAACCTCTCTATGTCTCGTAGTTTTCGAGTGGAATGTCAATGTTCGCTTAAGTAACATGTTCTAATTCATTATGTATGTATGTATGTACTTAGTTGTTTCGATTTATTCGAAGGAACGCAAACCTTTTTAAGAACTCCATTTTCATTGGAACAAAGTTTCATACCACGATCGAATGTTTCCTGCACGGATAGTAAGCTCGAGCGTTCATCGAAACCCACACGACGATTGTGAGCGCGTTCATTTTCAAAGCAAGGATAACGTCGAGACGGTACCCACTACAATAGTTAGACCGGGCTATCTCGTCGAAAGACAGTCTCCATCTGTCAATTAGTCTCATCACACACACGACGACATTTTCACACAATAGATCTTCTAAAAGCATTTCTAAACATTTGTTTTTTGTTTCGTAGGAATTGCATGTCTCGCGTATCGTTTTCCTAATCACACGCAGAGTTCCGTCTTTTTTCCTTGTAGCTCCTC